AGTTTAAAATTCAATTAGGTAAGTATCATGATTAGCCTGTAAACTGGTTAGCTCATCTGCAGTAAGATTATTTTTTAATTGAGCTGTGAATGTACTGCATGTATCGCAAGTGTATATTTCGGGTTTCCAAGTTTTCAAACGAAAAATATCTGCGTCGCATTACTATTTTACTCTGAGCTTTGGATCTACATGTCTTTCATTGCATTCATCAAAGTACAGTTGATACAACTTTTCTATCGTAAGTTCTGTACCAAGATAATCTTTCTTACTCCTTTCTCTGGAATAATGAATCACGCACTTTGGGAATGATTTAATATCTTGATGTATACTATTTATGGTTTCGGTAGTAGATTTATTGATTAGCGTGTGTCTACCTCTTTGATCAGCTTTTATTAAACCTCCTGGCTCAATTTTTTTCAACATATTTACTACTACTAAATTAGATATACAAAGTGTGTTTGAAAAAATAACCTTGCACACCCTCAATCGCTGATTGTTCACTGTAAAATGGTAGTATAGTGTATTATTTTTAGATTTGGTAGAATTTAGGTCTTTTTTTGTTAATCAAAGAGTAGGTTGGATGTCGAAACATGAGAAGATAAATTAATTTTTAACATCTGAAACGTTTGTCTCAGTCCAGTATGAGTTGAAACTTTTTTGTCTTTCGTATTCTGGCAATCTTTTAGAGCATTTCATGCGACACATGCAAGGAAGCTTTAACATTTTTGCAGGCATGTTTTTGCCTTTTTTACTGAGATACTCTTTCCCACCAGCTATTTTTGATTTGCGAACATTACAGACCCAATTTTGTTTATTTACTACACGTTTTTTGCCCTTTTGTTTGCACTTAGTTACATTTTGTACCTTTCTTTTAACACTTTTCTCTTCTTCTAAAATAACTTCATTACGTTCATTGGAATTGCCTGCATCACTGCTTAGGAATAAATCGTCCTTAAGAAGATTTTTTGTTATTGCCACACTGGTCGTAGGAGTAATAATAGCTTCCTCTTTGACCTTTGTTTTCGCTGGTTTACTTATACGTCTCATATCATTGTCGTCTGATTCTGAGCTTAGAGGCTCATAGGTTATATCAATATCCGAATTATCATCTCCAAACAAATTATCATCTTCGTCCACTTCCTTACCATTACCTTGGAAGTTACTGTAGTGACCAGGTGGTTCTGAAACAAATCCAGCCTTGTAATAATAATTATAGACTAATTTTTTAGGCCTATAATTGGCCAACACAAAAATAATCCTTATAACCAAAGACCGGAATTTACTGAGCAATTTCCATTACTTCCATTAAAAAAATATAGATCTGGAAACATCTGTTTACCCTAATCTGTTGGTATCAACAACAACAATAATTTTTGGGGTACCGGTTACGCCTAACAGTAAATAAATTTTACCCAATCTCTTGTAGTATTTTTGTTCATACGAGTATATATTGATAATTGCTTAGTAAATTCCTGTCTATGCCTACAACACAATAACATAAATGGCAATGCATTTTACATAAATAACTGACAACAATCATACCATATTATGGTCATTTAAAAAAACAGACGAAATTTTTTACTAGTAACAAGAACATACTAACTGATACTTCTATTTTAACGGTAGATACATAAAATGTATGTACAGTTTGAAATTCCGAGCCCTATACAAAATAATATACAATACTAAATATTTGAGATTAGAAAAATACAAAATCAGTGTTAAAAAACAATAACTTACCTGTAAGTGTTGTTTTATTTGGAATATTACACGACAGTAATTGTAATATTATTTTTCCACGAGAGTTCGGATCCATTTTACAATTATTAAACAACGAACTTATTGTACAACTTTTATCAACCTAATACAATTGCGATCTAAATAAAAAGGTTGCAATGATTTTAGTTCATGACAATTCCCTCAGGTACAAGGGTACATAACACTATGTCCGGATGGTAAATGACAATGCACACATTTACTAGAGGTAAACAACACCAAGTCCACATGGTGTTGTTTACCTCTGACTGGAAGTGGACTTGGTGTTTATTAAAAAGTCGGTAACTTGCCGTAAAATTGTCTCTGGACATAGTATGGTTTACCTATGTGTAGAGCCAGAAAAGTTATATTCAAAAGTGCAATAATCTAAATTTCGATAAAAATGGACATAGTGTCCTTTACCTCTGAGGTAAACATATATAGACGGTTTTATATTCTATTGTTGACTAATTACGAGTATTTTGGTTTTCCGTATGTTCAGATCAAAACCTGCTTCCTTGTTTGTAGATCTTCTTGAATAGGAGCTAGGAGTACTGATTTCACCGTTCACAATTACTCCTTGTTTTTCAGAAAGTGCATTTCTAAAATTTCTTTCGGAGTAACGTTGAAAAGCAGGAGCGACAAGAGCCACCTAAAACTGATGTGTAACTTCAATACAAATTTGCAATTAGGCGAATGTCTCTGCCATTCAAGCCCAAGTCTCTTAAAACTTCGATCAATATAGAGAGCTTAACACGATCAAATGCTTTTTGGAAGTCAATAAAACAACAGTAAATGTCTACAGATATATCACGATATCTTTGAGCAAGTACGTTCATCCCCAACAATGCCACTCTTGTTCCAAACCCGTTACAGAAACCAAACTGTTTGTTACTACGGTATTCCTCGCATTTATTATACATCCGGCTATTGTTCCAGAAACGAACATATTAATTTTTAAAATATAAAATATTAAAAATATAATTACTTATACTTAAAGTTATGTACACATTTTCTTAGTGTAGAATAGTCATTTGGTCAAGTTTCCCCAGCTTGTCTGGCGTCTGGTTGTTTGAATAATTTTCACATCACGATAGTACTCAATGATCTATTTACGTATCAAGTACTTCGCTCGCCGAAATCGGGTATTTCTCAAACCTTTAGGCCTTTCTACTCTAAAAATTTTAATTATAAGCCGTTAAATTCACAAGTGATTTTATTTCTCTGGAACTGTATTTGCTCAACACAAGAATCCTCATCATTCAACTGTCACTGTAAAGAACCCTACATATGGAGATACATTCATCAAAAGTCCTTTGAAGTAAGGCTTAGAATCGAAAGAATTTCAACTCTCGTAATGTACTTACCTAGTTATAATGCTCCCTACAGCCATGCATTACCTTAACAAGCTTAACAAGCTGATGGTTCTATAATCAGCCCAGATTTTTGCTATTGTCTTCTTAGACGATATATTGACGAATGATATTGAAATACGAAGTTATAGCCTCTAAAACATTGCTATCATTTATAATCTTGTATATTTCACTGGGAATATTATCAGGGCCTGTCGCGTTGCCATTGTTTGATGATTGTATGGCTTATAAACATCTTAGCGTGTTAGTAGGGGCCCGTCGCAGTTAGTAATATCCGGAGCTGAACTAATTCTATCGTCTTCGAATAGGTTCGTAGTGTAAATTTCCCATTGTATAAGTTTGTCCTCTACTTCAAAATGTTCATGTCGCAGAGTCGGACTTAAACGTGTCTTACCTATTTTTGAGTTCTTTAATTCCATGACACTATTTAGCTAGCTATTGACTCTTTGCTTTTCGTATTTTACGTCGAATTTCTTTTTGTGTACTTTAAGTTTTTCATTGTTTTTTTGCTATTTTCCGTTGCTGCATGAAATCCAATATGATTCCTGTCATCCAAGCCTTCTTTTTTAGCTTTGAGTTGCCTTTTAAATTCCATTCACAGATTTCATTTACTGTTGTTGTTGTTGTTCATTTTAGTTAAGCCTTCACCGGCATTTCCCAAAATAAATTCAGTTGTCTTTGATCCGTTTTCTTAACTTTCTCGTCTTGTAGTTGTGTTATATCAACATTTATGCGAGACTTTTTTTTGATCACCTTTTTTAATTTTAATTGGGTTACAGCTACTATGGGAATGTGATCAGATCCCATGTCAGCACCTGAATAAGTTTTAGCTGATTTGATGCAGTTTCTAAATCGATTTTTTATTACAAATGAATTGTATTCTCTAATTTTGCATTTCACTTTCAAGCGTAGAGTCTTCTCTGTGGCAATTTAAAGTGAGTATTCGATATAATGAAAACGTGTTCTTGGTAGAACTGGACAAGTCAATTTCCACGTCCATTTCTGTTTCCCAGGGCATAATTCCCCACATTATTTAAATATCATCCTTTGCCAACTTTGGCTTTAACATATCCGAGGACTATGGTATTTTCGACTGCTTTAACAAGAGTTACAGCATCACGAAGATCTTTGTAAAATGCTTCTATCTTCATCACTGGATGATATTGGGGCATGGACATAAATTACGGTAATGAACGGGTTTGAACTAAATTTCACTAGGATTACTCTGTCAGATATGGTGATATAATTCACCATTGATTGAGCCAAGCTTTTGCAACTACGACTGCAACTCCATTATAGTGATTAGCATAGTTATTTCCCGCATAGTACACTTGATATCTATAAACAACATACTCCCGGCCACCGCATTTCCCTTATTCTGAGAATGCTGATTTGCATTCTTGTCATTTCTTTTATAGTATTATGTATTTTACCTACCTCAAACATGCTTCTGACGTTCCATGTGGCTATTTTGCAAGGATTTCGTATATTAACGATCTGAGAGGGGCTGCAATCTTGAGATTATCCTCTCCTGTGGGATATTGGGTTCCGAGATCCATGATCATATTAATGTTTTGACTTAAATTATTTATAACCATGATAGTTAAAACTAAGATTACCAACAGACCTTTAATGAAGTAGCTCTCTCTTATTTTACATCCTTATGCCGTTGACTAATTTATAGTTCCTCCATATTCGGAACCAATTTCAGGTAGTACGAAATTTAAAGCTGCCATGAGTGCTACGAGAGCATAGTGTAAATATTCACTTCTGATTAAGAACCACATGATAATAGTAGTTGTATGATTTTCCAGCCTTGTATGATTACAACGTGCGGGGATCTTCACATAAGAGAAATACATCATACAATATGATATCGATTAATATATAATAATAGACTTGAATTATTTACAAAGTATACAGAATAAAAACAACAACTTACATATAGCTATAAAATATATAATATATGTATAATTCAATAGACTATAAATAAAACTTAAATTACCAGTATTGGACAGATTTTTTAAGGTAAAATGCAACATTTTAGATTAATTATATATACTAATCGACACCTGCAAAGCCCTGCGAACCTTCGATAGCTTTAATTAGTTTATCCTTTAAGTGTGTGTAGCTTTCATAGGGAGGAAGATCTAGTCGATTGAAACTAAAATAAAAATGGTTTAAATTAATATTTTTAGGATATAATGCTTTCTAGATAATAGGTATTTATCACATGATCTTGTATTTAAATAAAATATTATATTTATATAGGAGTAAGCCACAATTCACTGCAATAAAAATTACATTTTATATGTGTTTTTGATGTTTCAATTTACGCTCTGTAAATAAAAAAGAAATAATTAAAAAAATTAAAATAAGGAAGTTATTACACCTGTTGTTGTTTATTAGTTGGCGCTCTTTGACAAAACTTGACAGGCGATTCACTCGGCCTGGATCTTGCAGACAGATAGCCATATTTTGGGTTGAAACTTCTAAGTTGGTGTTACATCCTAGGGTCGATATCAAATCAATTTATTGAGTGTGATGGGTTTACTGTACATCTTTGTTCATTAAGTGAGATGAGGGCTGCTTCTTTGATTTTTTTTTCACATCTGTTTCTTTCTATTGATGCATCTTTCTGTGAATTGCATTTACAGGGTACTTTATAGATGTAGTTCTTTGATCTCTCTTGTGTATTGTTTGGATAGATAAGATCTATGTATTGGTTGTTTTGCATGTTATTGATTTGTATTTATTTCCTATCCTTTTTATGTTGTATCCTACCCCGTATTTGCTTGTTAGCTGCTGGTTCTCCAATGCTTAGGTAATCAGTTTTATCTTAAATTTATTTTTTAAACCCATTTTTTGTACTCCTCCACTAGTTTTCTCATTATGAATGAGATATGTTTATCGTCATTTGCTATTACCTCCTGGTCCTCAGCAAGTAGCTATGTATACAGAGGGATTTACTCCATTCTATACCTATTTTATAACATTTTCCGCACCAGGTATTCTGTATGCCTCCTAAATATGTATTTTAAATTGTAACGGGGATACGCAGCAACCGTATCTCAATCATTTATGGACCTTTTGAAGTTTTATAGAAATTACGTTTCTTGATCTAATAATCAAGAGAAAAGTTATGATGATTGGATGTTAGTCTCTCCGAGAATAGAAAAGTCTGCTCTTTTGAGTACACACAGCGCAAGGATATACCGAACTCAATCCTAGATTAAAGATGCCCCTGATATTCTTGAGTAAAATGAATGAGAAATAATAATTGAGAAATAAAATTTAAATAAATACTACAATACTACAATTACCGATAGTTAGGTCCACGGTTTAATTGATAATGAATTAAAGGGCCTGCCGAGAAATAAGGGGAACTAAATTTTCTCGATCCAAGGAATAACATCTTGTAGGTAGAGGTGATATAGATAGCAACATACCGGAAGTACCCCGGAAAACAAAAACCTGTATCATCTCTATAACCAGACAGTGCTAATGACTTTTGATCCACCTCTGTGAAAATCCAAGTCACAACAAATATGAACTATCATGTGAAGTATCACGAAGTTTTGGTACAACAAAAAAGTTGAGTACACAATGAAAGGAGGTAACTAATATAACAGTGAATAAGACTCAAATGACCAGGCTTGTTCTGGTCTTGCTCACACCATGGACACATCTGTTTTGAAATAACAGGTAATGAGCCTATCAAGAAAACTTATCCTAACCCTCGTAAGACAGACGAAATCATATCAAGCAGACCTAGAATATTCTTCAGACATGGCTTCCGAACAATTTCAAGAGGTTCTCATGTCGGCGTTCGAGGACAAATTGTCCAGAGATAGTGAGGAACTCCAACGTAAAGTACATTTTATAAAACTAAGATGCTGGGTGCATTTCGTGATATAGAGGGATCATTCAGAAATTCAACAAGTGCCATTTATCTAAGAGGAATAGGTAAAACAAGTTACGTGTGGATAAACTACATTTTGAGAAGCCTTGTGATATACGCAGCGTTATTGGGGGATACCTTTTCCTTCTCCCTTGTGGTGTCAACGTCAAAATCTGTTTTGGAATCCTGTCATCTGGAATTCTCTGTACATGGCCGTACCATATTAACTGTTTTGTTTTTATGTCATCAACTATTGTATGCTTGGGGTTTAAAACCTGACATGTTATATTGGATTTATAACATGATGATAAAACCAACAATTACATATACATCAATGGTATGCTGAGCAAAGGTACAGCAAAAAGTGTCCTTCTTAGACTAAGCAAGGTGGAGATATCATATAGAATGCGAGAAAACATCAATATAATGGTTAGATTAGGATATAGATAATCACTTATCATACGGTAGCCAGCCTAAAGTATTTTTCCAAGTCGACATCAAGCCCACAAGAGAGATGAAGCGGAGCAAAGCCACAACCCAGGCTGCACGGTTATACCTGGTACACAGACTGGTCTAAAACTGCAAGAGTCGGGCGTAGGGATATTCCACTAGGAGAGTATACCTCCGTATTCCAGGCAGAGATTTATGCAATCTTGACTTCTGAAAGACAAATTAATACGAGGGCTTTAGGACTCTAGTTTAGTGTAGGATTGCCAGGAAGAGCTTGAAAAATTGGTGGAACGTAGCAGTGACACTGGTATGAGTTCCAGGTCATCGGGGAGTATCATAATCGGGGACTGATTCATGAAGACTTAGACTACAGACTCTGTAGTAGCGAACTTAATAAAGTCAACCTTATCTTGAATGACAGCGACGTACAATATTGCAGGCAACAAACACTTTTTGAAGACTGCCAAGTGACTTCAAAAATATATGGTACAACACTAGATCTGTACAAGCTGGTACAGATTTCCAGAATTCTGGAATTAGTATCATCAATAAATGGAAGATGTACAATAAGCCAATTCGCTGAAGTCGATCTATTTATAATAGAATTTCTAGAAAAAAGCTCCACCTGTTACATTTAAAAATGATATTCGCTTAGGAGCCGAAACGTTTAACGAGTCGATAACATTTTAATAAACTACATGAAGCCGTTTTATTAAATAAATAAATAATAAAACACTTTTTTAACTCTTTTAGTTCTGTGTTTATTTCCATTAACTATTTTTGCTGCTCTTATATCAAGAAATGTAGAATCTATCGACTCATAAACATTTAATACTTATTTTAATAAAAAAATATGCTTGAATAAATTTTTAAGTGATTTAATGTTCTTAGAGCAATATCTTATAGAAAATTACTTACCAGGTATGAGCACGTGGAAAATTATCTGGTGTTCCCCATTTTTCTATTGTAAACAACTGCGGCCCGTTGCTGCCGTACAATTCTTTAAAGCCGTTCATTGGTACTCTAGAGGTTCCAGTAACAAATTGTAACAATCTAGCCCGCATTTCATTACTAAATGATAACACAACCTAAAAACCAAAATACTTTTTAACTAAATAATTAAAATACACTTTTACACAATTACGACAAAAACTTCTAGTAGCTTGATTCTCTAATTAAAAACTTCTTTTCTAAAACTAGGTTAAGTCTATTCACCTAAATCTTTCAAAAGTAGTAGAATTAATATATTTATTGCAAATAGCAACTTTAAAGAGATTCTGGAAAATAGGTTTGGATTATTCAGAAAAAGACCTTATTATTGTATTTTAGTATCTACGGGACATAGGCGAAAACTAAACAAATAATCTATGGATAAATATGGACTTTCTGGTTTTCGTGTTCAAAATTGTGTGTTCCTTTTTAGAGTTTCGAGGTAATAAATACACGAGGTCAATTACCATCGTGATTTTCAAAGGTGCCCAACAGTTTGTGTGAAATAATTTCTCAGGTAGTTCATCTTTTGATAAGAAATAATTATTGCTTTTGTGGATCCTAAAGACGCTCAAGAGAAAAAGTAAACACTGATGGCACTCAATTAATTAGAAAGGAACCGATCAAGGAGAATTAAAGAACTTTTTGCTGAATTTTGTGAAAATGAAGAAGGACTTTTTATTTAAAAAAATTTGAGTCAAAAATCTAGCTATATAAAAGACTAGAATGACACATCACACGGAAACGCAGTTTGTCCGGGACGATAACTCCTAGCGTCACCTAAGAAAAAAAATCTGAAGTACCAACTGACATGGAAAACAAAAACACGGATTAAACAGTAGCAACTCGTTCCAGTGAAACAGGCAAACTTCCCTACATATGGAAGTTCAGGAAGAGTAACAACCTTCTTCAGGTGGACCTGACACACTCATAAGGATTAATGTCCAAGTGTGTGTCGGACCCATGGAAGAAGGAATGTCCACAGATCTAGAACCGGCCATCTCTTCGCAATGAGAGAGAAATAAGGCTCCTGCAGGTCAATCTTCAACATGCAAAAGCCGCAAGGGCAACGCTAGTTAGAAGAGTGGAACAAGAAGGCATTGATGTGGCCCTCCTGTAGGAGCCTTGAAGGATAGTTGAGAAGATTGCTGGCCTATCAACTAAACAAGGTATGGTTTTATACACTCCCAAAGCTATAAGGTTAAGGTCGTGTATAATTCACAGTAATAGAGTAGATTGTAAACTAATCCCGGTGGTCTGCACCGATGATATTGTTACAGCTGCTCTAACTATAATCACGGAATTAGGAGAGAAGAAACTGGTGGTGTGTTCAGCCTAAGCATTATAAGCGACATGGTTGTATATTGTCTAGGAAAAGAATTACAGCTTATTATAGGATGTGATGCCAACCCACATCACACCATATGGGTCAACACAAACATCAGTGCTAGGGATGTCACGACTGGTGTAAACAAGAGAAACTGATAGTCAATGCTCAGAAAACACCAATTGTCAACTTCACCAAAAAACAGCACTACAAGGCCTAAAACCACCAATACTGGGAGGAACAGAGATGTCATTTGCTAAAGAAACAAAATACCTTGTGGTGTATTTTGATCATAGGTTTACATGGAATATTCACATTCTGAAAACCACACAGAAAGCTACTATGTCCCTGGGCAGATGTAGAAGAATGAGCGGTAAGAATTGGGGACTTAATCCCAAAATGCCTCTATGGTTATACACAAGGGTTATTAGACCAATGATAACCTATGGCCCGTTGACGTGGTGGACAAAGATGCAGCAAGAGGGAGAAATAATGCTGCTAGGAAATACACAAAGGCTAGCATGCCTGTGTATTAGGGGGCCATAAAAATAACTCTTACAGCAGCGTTGGAAGTCCGGCTGAATCTACCACCACTTCATATCTTTATACAGGGGAAGCCAGATGCATGGTGCTGACAACAGAGAGCTAATATAGGAGTTAAAAGACGATATTGTCATGGGGCAACATATCGATGCAACAGCTACGAGATATAGCTTTAACAATAAGTTAACAAGTAAGATACCAGGCAGGGAAGATTGGAATGAAGGTGTACCCATACTACCTGGTACACGGATGGCTCAAAAACATCGGAGGGATGGGAGCCGGCATAGTAGGAACAAATCAAGGGACACATTTCCCGGTAAGTTTATCTAAGGATGTGACAGTTTGCTAGGGGGAAATAACGGCATTGCATCACTGCGTGAAAGAAATAGAAAGGCAGGAAAGAACGTTATGTTCATTTGCCATCTTCACAGATAGTCAGGCAGCACTTAAGGCACTCACTCTGTAGAGGTCAATTCTAAGTTGGTATGGGATTGTGTGTGTGTGCCCTAAATAAACTAGGAGACAGTAGCAAGGTTACGGTAACCTGGGTACCGGGGGTCATAAGGAAAATGAAAAAGCAGATGAAATGACCAAGCAAGGATCATCAATGCCATTCATTGGACCGGAATCCATTTGCGGCGTTGCAAAGACAGTGACAAGAATGACTACAAGGAAGTGTCAAGTGTAAAACAGTCAAAGTCATAGTAGGTCTTCTAACAGAGCACTACTTGAAGCTGATACGATTATCAGATGATACCCTAAGCAGATTCTGTCACCTCGAAGAAGAAACAGCAGAGCACATTTTATGTCAGTGTGACAGTCTGGCAAATGTGCGGTTCTTTGCATTAGGAGAAGAAAATCCACCGGCAAATAGCTACATGGAAGGTACAGTCTCGAAGCTATTAGACTTTTTAAAAAGGTCATTTTAGGAAATGTTTATCTAGTACTAGAGGGCCACAATAGATCTGAAAAGATCGCAGTGGAATAGGCCAAAAGGCTACCTCTCTAAATTTATCATAGTTTTTATAAAATTGCCAAAAATATTGGTTACTGTAATTTTAGTTTAATATTTATTAAGCAAATAACTTAAAGCTTTATGCTAGTTTATATTTACTTGGTTTAGTGCCAGTTCTTTCACCTCCGGTTAACTATTTATTAGTTTATCCGACAGATAAAAAAGTAACATGTTATCAGTAGCGAATAAAATTATCTGAGAGATAAAATGTTATTTATTTAGAGGAAAGGGGAAATCCCTTTAAAAGTTATTAAAGTGATAGATGATTGCTGATAATTTTATAGGATGTTAAAATTTGAAGTAGATTCACCTCATGGCAACATATGTGGGTGTAACGAATCTACTTAAAATTTTAACATCATATCAAATTATCAGCAATAATATAATCTATTAAAGATTTAATAACATTTAAATTTTAACCCCATGTATTTAGTGGTTTTAAAAATGTATACCTAGTAAGTAGTACACCACATTTGCCTTTACCTTGGTCAACAGTTAACTTTACGTTTTTCTTAATTAAAGTGGTTTTATACTTCTTATTTTAGGTAGCAGCATTGAAAATGGAATATTTATTCCAAAAACGTACTGTGATTAGGTCCAAAAGGGTTCCTTTAAATAAACATACCTTTAATAAATAATCTTTTACTAAAATTTTTTGGTTTTGGTTTGATTACTACAATTTCATTTAGGAATTCTGTATAACAAAGAACACAGACCTTTAGATGCGTATTCAAGTATATCTGACTTTCAAACCAAAAATAAGTGAGTATGTTGGATAAAATCAGATATTAGGAAACCGAATAATCAATTTCTTCTATAGATTCTGAAGTGCTGTAACAGTAGTAAAAAAAAAAGTGTTCCTGAGCATCAGTCGTGTTCACCAAGAACTTTGTTTTGTTAAAAACCATACAAATAATTACAGCTAGAAGATATTAGAATAATACATTAACTTTTCTTATAAATAAAAAATATAAACTTACCCTCCAAAACCATTGAATAACAATATGATTTGCATGATAATCTCCTTTGTACAATGTGTTGACTTTCCAATCTTTCACATCAATATGTTGAATACCGCACATCAATAATTCCAATTCGTGTTCATCGAAGATTTTAATAAGGTTTAATGGTATTAAATCACTGAATCCTTCTAGAAAAGCGTTCATTTGTTCTTGTACTCTTCCCACAAACCTCCATTGGATTATGCATCTAAAATAAACGTGTAAACATGAGTCAAATACGAAAATATATAAATAACTATATTTTTCGCGCCGTTTCAAAAATGACGACCGTTGAATTTTCAATAATTTAATAACGACAGTGTGAAAAAGTATCTCTAACACTTTGATAATATTCAGCTTTCATAGAATACACTCAATTCTGTTTGTTTATTGACATCAATCAAAAAGCGTCATTGAAATTTTTATTTAATGGGAATATATTGCATGTAATATGAAGTCATCGCCATTTTTCTATATATGCCATATGCTAAATAATTTATTAAAAGTTCATATCACCCATATGTTTCTAAATTTTTGTGTCTGGCTATATCAAAATAACAAACTATTATCGACAAGGAAATTTGTGCTACGAAGATGTCTCTGAAAATCATATTAGCAGCGAATTCATACTTGTCTTCATATTACATTTTTGTTGATGACTAAAAATTAAATGATTTGGTATTATTTATTATTTTATTGGCAAATACATAGTTGGTAAACGGTCAATCGGCATCATTGTTATGTAAAACAGGTGTACTGTTTTTCCAATTAGTGTTTACCTTATCGTTGTTGTTATAGTATCGGTTGTTAAATTTGTGCTCGATTGCTTCATCTGGATGGTTTTGGTAATAATTTTGTTAAGTAATATTTAACTGTGAAGTAAGATAAAATATTAGATCGAAATGGGTAACTTAAAAATAAACCAAATTCTTATTAACGCCACTCAAAAATACTACGAACAAAACTTTGCAAGAATTAAAATGGGACAAGAAATCACCTCTCGTTTTCAAACAACAAAGGGACTAAGACAAGGCTGCTGTCTGTAACCCACCTTATTTAAAATCGAAGACAGCTACGATCTTAGCTATATGATAAGAAAACTTCAAGAATAATATGAGGTGGCAGGTCTAAACATGAAGATGACAAAATGGGATTATCTCTCAGTGGGAACAGATGAAATATGTGACCTAGTCCTGGAAGACGACAAAATCAAAGCCGTGCAATCCTGCAAATATTTGGGGGTCATTTTCAACAAGAAGGGAAATGGCGCAGATGGAATTAGAGAAAGAATAAACAAGGGCAGAGCAGCGACCGGTGCATTAAACTCTCTTCTCTGGCAAAAAACAATACGACGAGAAACCAAAAAACACATTTACGGTAGTATAGTCCAAAGTATTACACTTTATGGTTCGGATGTATGAGACGTTACCAAAGCTAATAGAAACAAAGTTATGACGACAGAAATGGATTATCTGAGACGAAGCTGCGGTAGATCGAAACTGGAGAGAGTTAGAAATGAACAAATATGAAACGAAATGAAAATGGAGCGAAATATTAATGATGACATAGAAAAAAAGCAATTAATCTGGTGCGGACATGTTAAAGGCATGCCAGAGTACAGATGGCCTAGAAGAGTACTGGAATGGATCCCTCCTAAAAGAAGAAAGAGAGGACGACCACGGAGAAGTTGGCGCAAAAATATTGATGAAGCAATGGCGGCAAGAGACTTAGAAGAGGCAACTGTATATGACAGAAAAAGATGGAAATTGGGGGGCGGAGAAGCGGCGACAGCCGTAATCAATCCGTTATTATATATAAGACGATTTACAGTATATATTCTATCGGTTTTTTCTTGATGATAAATAATGGACATAACAAAAGGTATAAGTACACGGCACTCGCGTTATAGACCAGTCTCGCAAAAGGAAAAACAAATTATCTGGAAGGTCTATGATGGACTAAAAAAACACTACCTTCAACAGAAGATGTTAGTGGCTGTTCTTTTTCATCAAGATTATCAGTGGAAACAGTTCAACGCATTGTGCGCGAAAAAAAAAACAAACAAACAAAAAAAATATGTTAATTTGGATAAACTAATAGAAATATTCTCTGCAGAATTGCACATTTACTTTTCTTTGAAAATAGGGCTTCACCTCTCAAATCTGTATTAAGTACAATATGACTGAGAAACATGCATTCCATGTACAGATGATCTGGTCAAAGCAGAACTAAATGCCTAGACTTCGTATTACTATTTTGAGATTTCCACCTGACCATTGCTAGTTGTATCTATTTGAATTAAATTGGAATCAAATAAAGGGATATGTGGCCCTGGAAGACTCGGCAAACTCCCAGGATTCCAATGATTTATAAACTACTCAAAGTAAAATTTTAATGTGTGAAATATAATTGTTGTAATTGTTATTATTGTTGCTATTGTAGTACTGTATAATCAAAACAGCATCAAAGCATAGTATATTATTCAAACTTAATTCACTGTACGTGTCTAGCACACGGCATGAATCACGTTGCTGAGACTATACGGCTGTAATTTTCATTTGTTAATGCGTTGATAAAAAAATGGAAATTTTTTTCGTTAAAGCCGCTTTAAGGGTGCAACTTTTTAGAGAAAGATAGGGTGGGGTACATAGTTAGATACTATGCAGCTTTATACTACGCCGAATATATGGAAAATTTTAAATGCTTTGTATTGGAAATTCAAGATACTGCTAGCAAATCGATAAAATATTTCCAGGATGTTATAGATCCAGGATGTTATGATATACAGCCCTTGCGGAGACAGCGTGACAAACGAATGGAGGGGCAGATACAATAACGAGCTAGAGTCTCTATTCGGAAAAGAATATATGGAAAGGCCAGATGGAAGAAGGTCTGTAGGGCGGCCTAGAAAAAGGTGGAAAGATGCAGTAAAAGAAGATCTAAAGAAAATGGTGCGACAATGGGAATTACTGGCATAGGACCGACAAACATGGAAGGCAATAGTTAACGCGGCAAAGACTCACGAAGAGTGTGTGCCATTGATGATGATGATGATGATGTTATAGATGAAAGTATGCACCGATAACCATTTTCCTTTAAAAAGGTGTATCGATAAATATTAGTTTGAAGTAATTACTATTTTATTGCGAATAAGCCACAATTGAAGGTTAAAGTGAGTTTATTGACGTTTCAATTTCCACTTCGGAAATCGTTTTCCGAAAAACTTACTTTAACCTTCAATTGTGGCTTATTCCCAATAAGATAGTAATTACTTAAAACGCCACAAGAAAATAGCTTCAGAACAATAATAGGTTAAAGCATTATTGTTACAGTTATCTATTTTTTATATAATATTTAATTTATAATAGGTACTTATACTAGTTCTTAAGCTAAGCTTAGAAATGATTACATAATATGGTTTAGGATAATTTTCGTAAAAAAAATAGTTTGTCAAAATTCATATATTCATTTTCATGCTTTTTTTGTATAATAAAATTTTATGCTTTTTATGCCATTTTTTGCATTTTTTATGCTTTTAAATCCGAACTCTAGTTGTTAATATGTTTTGTAGGCAAAAGGTTAAGAACGAATTTACTATATTTGTGTTAAAGATGCTAGGTACGGTAACGATCATTTTAAATCAGAATACAATGTAATTTTCATTGATGGATGATGTATTTATTAATTTTTCTAAAATATATGAGACTTTTATGACTAGAATAAAATCGCCGGTCAGATAGTCAAGCAGATCAGGGTGACGAAACGCATTCACTTCACTGTAAATGATCTATTGGATCGGTGGTTCAAACCCTGGTCAGAAAACAAAAGGCTAACCTAATAGTATAAAATATAAACGGACCTCTTACTTAAACTAGAATACGCTGGTGTATCGGATATACCCGTAGATGAGCAATATTACAAGAGATGTTACTAACTTCATAGTGGCCGGTCGTGTACGCTTAAAAAACCGGAATCCAGAGAGTTATAACTAAAATCGTTTTTAATCAGCACATTTGTTATTTGGCAATTAATTATCGAAACAAATTATTTAAAAAACCGTTGTTATCTACTTATTTCAATTTTTTAAAAATTTCTCAAATAAACTCAAATTTATATGTAAACAATACATTTAAGATACTTTCATCAAATAACCCTGATAGGGTTTAAAGGATTCGAATAATTTGTGCCGACCAAATTTTTTAAAGGATGTTTTTGATTTGCACCTCGTACAATTAGTAGATTCTGTTACATGCATGCGTCACCCTCCTCAATTTCTTATTGTACCTACTAACTATTTTTAAGTACTAACTAGTACTAATATTAACCATTATTTTTAATACTAGTTTATAATTTTATTATTATAATTAATTTTAGTTTTTTGTTAACTTTGATTAATTAACTTTATTAATACAATTATAAGAAATGCTAATAGATGTAAAACTCTTGCCCTTTTAATTAATACTAATCGCAGTAGTAGAAGTAAAGGAATAAGGAGGTTGGTTAGGAAGAAAAAGGAAGTAAACTAGATTATATTGGGTACAATATCGATGTTTTTAAAATGATCAATGATTTCGGTAGACTAATGGAACTTTTAATAAAATTTAAAAATAAAACAAAAAGAGAAATCATACGATTTCTACCTGGCGAAATCGAATTCAAATCGAATATCGAATCCAAATCTAATACCGTCATTGTGTTTTATTTCTTTACTTCGTTTGGAGTACCAGAAATCGAATTCACTACGAATATTTGCCATGATGAACGGCATTTGGAATGCAATTTTAGATTCCCTTGCCGATTTATTTATCAAGCTGTTTGCTTCGAAAGTTTTAGGAAGCACGGTGGCTGATATTTGAATTCGATTTCGAAAGGTAGAAATCGTATGATTTCTCTTTTTGTTTTTAGATGGCGTATGTACGTCTGTACATAGTTATATTTAATAACTATGGTCTACGACGGGAAAATATTTTGGTTCGATACGGAATAGTGGCTATACCGTACTGAGGAGACCTAAAGAGGTCGAAATACGTATATGCGGCTTGTCGCTGCTCTGTATCGAATCAAAATCTAATACCGTCATTGTGTTTTAAAAATAAAAGTTTGTAATTAAAAAAATAGAATTTTAAATCACACTTACTTAATGTAATCATCTTTGTTGGAATTATCTAAATTGATGTCTGCTCCTCCTTCGATAAGTTCGTGTACTGATGTATGACCAAATGATTCTTCATCTACAGAAAACGTTAAATCTAAATCCGATGGATCATTCTCCTTTATCCATAAAAGAGACTTATAGTATTCAGAATCAACCGACTCCATGTCTTTTAGATCAATACTTTTCGTCAACATCATCTTATAAAAAGGTCTTATAAAGAACGCTGTAAAATAAAAAAAATACTATTTAATATTAATATTAAATAAAGATTAAATTTCATGGATTATAACATTGATTGTAGTAAAATATATTACCATCTAATAATTTTCCATGGTAAACGGCCATGCCTGCTACTCGTCCTATAAATTTAAAATAGCTGAGATGATCTTCGTTGCAAAGTCCTGAGAACGGATTTATTTGTAATGTGTAATTGTCCCTAAAAATTACACAACATTACATTACAACACTTTAAGATTGTAACAAAATAGAACAAAAGAAAATAGTTTGTGAAAGAAATTTACGCATAGCGAAAAAAAAAATTAATCTTTTTCTGTAGGTACAGATAATTCATATTTTATTTTAAACAACTGAACTGATAAACGTAAATATATATAGGTACTTAAGAGCAGTAGTTCCCAAAGTGTGGGCGCACATTAAAAAAAAAAAGAATCGACAAATTTATTTATATATTATTTCTCACACAAATTAAAATAATTACAAGGGTACATTTTGTTTGTTAATTATTGCTAACGTTAACTTCGTCAATTGTGACTTGTTGAATTATTAAGATCACGGTAAGTTAGATTTTATTATGTTAACTATGTTATACTATGTGTTAACCAATAACAAACAGCAAAGTAAAAAATGGAAATAATTTGTTATACCAACGAGACATCTATACGAATTACAAAGAGTTAAAGTGAGTTATGTTATAATGACTGACGTTGTTCAATTTATATTGAGAACAGGTGTTATAAAAGTAACGATGAGTCAACCATATGGAGTAAAAATAAATGGAAAATTACTTAATGTAAGCAGATATGCGGATGATACTCTAATAATTCTATCAGACAACGTAGAGGGCCTCTAAAATTCTGCGGAACCTTATCCACGAAGTAGGACTGAAAATCCAAACAAAAAAAAACGAAATATTATTAGGCTGGAGCTGTAACTCACATCAAAATTAAAATACGAATTAAATGGAGAACAAGTTGAAAGAGTTAACAAAATTCACATATTGGTGAACCATCATACTTTGAACAACGCACACAGCAATCACTAAAGCCTTTTTTTAATGAAAACACTTCTTTGTAATAATCATCTTACTTTAGAATTAAGACAAATAATGATTAGATGCTATTTTTCAGATAAGCTGTTATATGGAGTGGAAGCGAGGACGCTAAAAGAATTAAAAATAAATGGAATTAAAACAGTGGAAATGTGGATACATAAACGAATGTTAAAGATTGTTGGACGGCGAAGCATAACTAACAAGAAGTTGAAAATACCCAAAAAAGAATAAGGAATTAATGAAAATTATCAAATAAATTGGAAAATATAGTCTATCCGCTAGATCTTTGCACAAGTATGACATTATTCACGAATTATTTGTAAAGTCTATACTTCTTATCACTCGGTATGATGTTTTGACGGGTCCGAAATCCTATTTAGAACTCGAAAAATCGAGACGGGTGTAGTAACCTTGCGATATACCGTAATTATACATAATATGCGCACATAATATACACTTACTATAATTTTATATAATATATTTTTTATAACAACTCGAGAACGTCTTGGCTAATTTTGATTTTGAAAATATTTGTATAAAATAAAATTATAAAAAAAAATTAAAATAAAAAACAATATAAACTTATAAACAATTATAAAAAAGTATAAAGAATTATAATAAATTATAAAAAATCAGTAGGCGGTACTGTAGACTAGCACGAAGATTTATACTAATCAACAAAATTGCTCTTTTTACTATTCTCTTTACAATTTTATATTTTCAATCAAATTTCTATTCAGCAGCAGTTTTTGTAGGAAATTTTTTAACGTTATTCATGCTTTACCGGTTTAACGCTTTATAGGTACACAAATAAAATCTTCCACTGTGACTGTATAAGATATGAAAATGTTATAGTAATAAGTAATAGGGAGTTTTTGTAACTACTCTAACGTAACATATCTCCTTATACGTAAAGAACTAACGTATCGAAGAAGATGAACGTTAAATTGAGAGTTCAAGTTCTGCACGTAACGTAACGATGGTGCTGCCCTCATCGGATTGGTGATAAACTAATAAGTGTCAGTCTTGTCCTTGTCATTAAAGGATATTTTTGATATTTCAAATAAATAACAAATATTTTTTGAACAATTTTCAATTTTGAAAATGGACGCAATAACAAATGTAGGTGCCTTTATTGATGATGAAGAAGACGGGGATATAGAAAATGTCCTTTAATTTAGATACCATGGCTGATATATAATGTAAAAATCTTTTGCGTTTTTGGATTAAATTTCACCTTAATGGATGATCGTAAGGGTTCTGTCCTACGACTTCCTTCAACAAAAACAAATCATCTTCATTGCTGAAGTGAAGTCGTTTTCTACTGCTTTCCATTATTTATAAAAATCCAAAAAAATATATACTATGAAACTATGAAACTCCATTTTTGGGCAAAAATGAGTTCAGCATCAGAAATATAGGTTTTTGTGAGCCGGACGCATTGTTATACTTTGCAGTGGGAAACACGCTTACTCTCGAGATATCTACGGAACAATAAACCCTCTGCGTGGAAATAATGGTGAGGTTCCTATCGTCGGCGCGAAGACTGATGAAGTTCCAATATTCCCTCGCGTCAGTCAACTTTTTATAGTTATTACTGTGGTTTATTATTAGATTCACAGAAATACTTATCGGAACGGTACACGTGATTGTAACAAAAATTCAGACTAGAACATAAGGGTTGTGTCGAAAATTATACTATATTCCACTTTCTGCATCATATGATTCATTATGAAAAAAGGTTAAAAGATGTTCTTATAGCGTTCTCGATTCGGGAACATCCCAAAAAACAAGAACAGAACATCCAAGTTGAGGTGTGATTAATTGATCGCACCAGAGTATTACTGCTTTAAAAGCCAAGTTCCTTCGTAAGTATATAGAAAATCTTAATAGTGTGCATCCCAGATACCTTGTTTTTTTTTTAACGAAACATGGATTTATTCAAAGGGAAACAAAACAATTTCATGACATGCCAAAAGAGTTAAAAGTGTACATAAATAAGAAGGGTAAACGTTTTACAATTGTTCACGCTGGTTCTTCGAAAGAATCTGTTAGTGAAGCAAGTTTATTACTTTGCTCAAACTCTTAAGTAGTTGAGAGAAATAAACAATGAAATTTTCACTAAATGGATAAGTCAACAAGTAATTCCCATTAAGTGTGATGGATATTATAGTGTTCTTTTAAAAAAGCAACCTTCCACTGTCAACTACAACTTCAAGTTACGGACAGAATCAACACAAGTCACCGCGTGATATTCGAGTCTACACGTGACGGACGCCTTGCTATTGGCCAAATTGTCGAACGATCGTAAGTCAGGCAGTTAGCCCTAACAGGTGCGGACTTCGTTTTTCCGCTCCGTACTCTGTCGAATGCGAAATGGCCCAGTAATTTTTGTGCAAATCTGTTTGTTGGTTTGTTTATTTGTTAATCGTTAGCTCGTATGTGGATAGTGCAAAGCTATTTTAAGAACATTTAATTATAGTCGATACAAACTTTTTCCCCACTTTAAAATAATTCCTGTAAGTATAATAAAGGATTTATAATAGCCATAAAATAAGATATAATATCGACCTGCACTGATATGTTTAATGGATAAAAATTAATTAGTATGTTAAAAATTATGAAAAACAAAAGGTGCCCGATATAATTTTGTCCTGACTATAAATTAATTTAAACTCTTTGCGGCACGAGATTTTATAAATTTTCTACAATGAACCCTTGGGGCATAGAAAGATTCAATTGCACACGTAAAAAGTAAAATGACCTCACTTTTCAAGAAACAACTGATAACCATTCGCGTTTGGCCAATAACTATAACCGTGGGAATTTTACCAATTAAAGATAACACTTAATAGGGACAGAGGGAATAAGTAATACAAACCACTTGCGTAGGTGTAACTTGATAAAAATAGATTAATAAGTGATTCATTTTGTGGACTACTGTACAACATGAAGCAAAAATTTGGTGGTTCAAATTTCAATCCGATGTGCCGAAAAGAGTTAAAAAATACCTTTTTTTTATATATTTAAAAAAATCAACCCGGGCAGATATTGTTTTAGATTTTTTGGATCATTCTAAACAAAAATTTATTTTGTAATTTTTCTTAAGTTGATCGTGTTCGAGTTATAAATAATTGAAAACTGGAAGACACGGAAAAATTGCGAGGCGAACAAGAATTGACAGACGAAGAACGATAGATGATGATTTTCAAGGATCAAAATCATTAGTAAAAAATATCACATTTACCAAAGCGATGTAGGTAAACCTTATATCGGATCCTCTACTATAAAAGTAAATTTGAAAATGCCCATTTTGTTATTTTAGTTGAGAAAAGTATAATAAATCCATTTATTTAATATGTCTGATACGGAGTCGGCAAATAAAAATGAGGAACTGTTAACGCTAAGTCCTCCTAGGAAAAGAGCTAAGAAAAATCACGTAGATATAAGAATCAAAAAAATAATGGTTAATACATACAAATGTGAATTACAAGATAATCCTACTTTAGCGTTCCAAACACTGGAAAAAAATGCTATAATTGTAATGGAAAATGCCCCTTATCATCCCAGAAAATTGGAAAAAATTCCCATTATGACTACAAAAAAGGCAGATATTCAAAATTGGCTTCGCTTAAAAGACATTCCCTTTGAAGAAACGATGTTAAAGGTGCAACTTTTAGAAATCCTTAAACAACATAAAGGCGAATATAGTAAGTACATAGTAGATGAACTGGTAAGAAGCACAAATAGAATAGTTTTAAGGTTGCCACCGTATCACTGCGAGTTCAATCCAATCGAGCTTGTATGGGCGGAAGTCAAGAATTATGTAGCATGGCATAACATAACATTTAAATTTGCTGACATTAAAAATTTATTTCATGAAGCTGTGTCTGCTGTAACCATGGAAAAATGGAAAAACTGCGTCAAACATGTAAAAGAAGAAGTGGAGCCAAAAATGTGGGAGTTGGACAATTTAATTGAGGCACAAATTGAGCTTATCATTATCAACTTTAATGATGACAGCAGTACATCAGATTCTGAAAGTTAAGATAAAATACGGTAATTTTATAAACTTTTTTTTTTTGTACACTTTATTTTGTTGTTAATAACTCTCGACTTTGTAAATCATTTTTATATTTAAAAAATTGGTGTACTATATCGTCCGTAGCTTGAAGTTGAATTTACTGTAGAATGGAAATTTTTACCTGGTTGACAACATATAAGATCAAAGGTTGAGTTTACCGAAAGTACAAGCTGAATATAGCCGCAAATGTCACAAATATTTGGGTTTTGGGTTTGGTTTTAGGTTTGGAAGTGTTGGCACGTTTTTATAATGCATAGGTTGAATGCTTCAAATATAAAGAGATAAAGCTTTTAAAACGTACATTTTGATCATACTATTTTATTAATTCTACAATTTTTATTATATATGAAGTAATAACGAGTAGATATTTGTCTCTTTCGAAATTAATTTCAAACATCTTTTGTAATCTGGCAACTGTTGATTTGACGATTGCCAAATATATCCCCTAATCTATCAAAAGGTAACACAATATAAACAAAATGTACTTGTCTAAAGCTTTATCTTTTTATATTTCAAGTATACAACATCTACATTCTAAAAACATGTCAACACTGCAATACCGAAATTTGTTGTTCCATAAGAGAATTAATGCGTATATAAATGATGAGCTACTAAGAGAACACGGACATGAAGTTTGGAGACTACCTCTTCATTATTGCGAATTCAACGCTATTGAATTAATTTGGGCAAACTGCAAGTCATATTACAATTAGTATATTGATAAAGACGGGCATTCCGATAGTACTGTTATAAATATGAGTGAAGGTAGAAAACTTCTTCGAAAATAAGACGTTTTACATTGGACCAAAATAAGAAATACAAAGGCAACTTCTTTATATGGGATAATATTGTAAAGCCTTCGCAATGGTGATAACCAAAGTCGGATAATTCTGATATCTACACTAACTGCTGAATGCCTGACTAACAATATAATTTCTTGTTCTCGATATTTTTATCAGAGATAAACCACCTCACCTTTTAACTGCGAATTCCGTTTAAAAGACGTTTTAAGCGTCAGTGGTTTCTAATATACTGTTTTTAATATTCCTCTTTTTGAACTCCTTTAGCTAATTTCGAGTAATTTTCTATATCATTTATAGACTATTATATTTCCGATACATTTACTAAGCTAAAGCGAGTGTTTTATATAGTAGTAAATAAAATATTTCATACTTACATTGCAGAATATTCAAAGAGACCATAATACGGATTAAACATTTCTTTTGATAATAGGTAGAACCATTCTCTAGCCAAGCCGCCATAATCTAATCCTACTTCTCCCTCGAATTCCACCCATAATTTTGTTTTCAACAACTCTATTCTAGATACTGATGTTATAACCCGGTAAGAATCTTCTAATATACTCCTCCTTCTTATTTTAATCTCAAATTTATTTGGAACGTTGTTCTAGAACACAAATTAGATTTTTTAATTTTACTTAACTTTAATTTTTACCTTTCTAATAAATCTTAGGAAATATCAAATTCTTATGTAAATAATTTTAAACGGGTCTGGTATATAAAGTCAACTTATGTAAATAATTTTACACAGCATATAAAGTCATCTGTTGTTAGGTAATTGGATTTTTAATGCCATCTTCTTCATAAGGTATTTATATATAATTTTTCCTGTTAGAAGTTGCATACTACTATGCGGACTAGTTTTAAAAGCACCCAGTGCTAATCTCAAAGCTGTAAATTGAATATTGTTTAATTTTTTTTAAAGTGGTTTTGCGTGCAGCATCGTAACGTATACAACCATAATAGATTTTAGTTCTAATGAGCGATTTGTAAAGATTAATTAATATTTTATAATCAGCACCCCAAATTTTATTGGATGATATTTTGAGTTTATTTAGTGTATTATACAGGAATGCTGTAGTTGATTTTATATGCGAATTTCAATTTAAAGTTCTCTCAAAAGTTAGACCTAGAAAGTTTATTTCTTTTGACTGCTCTAAAGATAAATTTTTTAATGTTAGATCAATTGTGAGGTGGATTTTATTTTTATTAAAAATAATGTATCGTGAAAAACAAATCCCGTTTTTATCGTTCAATTTTGAATCAGGTTTAGAAAACTTTGTGTAATTTTTGTTGTTGTCATTACGTTAATTGATTTAGTACAAACAACAATGTCATCTGCGTTAATACCAGCTTTAATGGGTACTTTAATAACATCCATAACACTACTGAAAGCGATTAAGAATAGAGTTAAACTAAGAATCGAACCTTGAAAGATTCCATTGTCTAATATCTTGGATGAGCTTGTAACACCATTTATTCTAACTTAAATTGAGTGATTTTTAAGAAGTTTTTTATAAATACATGTATGTTATCTTGAATGACATTATTTTTAATATTTTTAAAATACAATGCCTTCATGCTGTATAGCGCAGGCTTCGGTTATATCGAAAAATATTCCTATTAGTTTTTGGTTATTTGTAAAAGCTTCATTAATTCAAGTCTGTAATGCAACGTGACTGTCTAATGTGGATGTATCTCTTCGAAAACCACTTTGGAAGGGATTAAGGAAATTAATATTTTCTAAGTATCATATCAAATCCAACATTAAAAACCTAGAAGCATTCGAAATGTGGTGTTACCGACGTAATTTGAAAATATCATGGATGGATCGCAAAACAAACGAACAAGTTCTCGAACAACTAGGAAAACAATGCGAAGTTTTAAATTCCATAAAAATCAGGAAATTGGAATACTTAGGGCACATAATGAGAGGTGAAAAGTACGAACTACTAAGGAATATAATGCAGGGTAAAATCAAAGGTAGAAGAAGCGAAGGAAGACGTAAAATCTCGTGGCTACGCAATCTCCATGAATGGTTAGGATGCAGTTCAATTGAACTATTCAGGCGAGTAACCAATAAAATTATAATTGTCAGAATGATTTCCAATCTCCGATAGGAGTGGAACTTGAAGAAGAAGAAGTATCATATAAGGCGGGGAGTAAAATATGTTCTAGGATCTTGCATATGCAACATGTAAGAGACATAGGTCGGTAAGAGGAAGGTTTGTCTTTTGGTTTGTTAACTCTTAAAAAGTTATAGGAGAATATAAGGGGCTGTCATAAGCTTTTATGTTTTTCTTGTATGTTAGGGATTCGTAAGAAATATTTTTGTCACTAGAATTTTCTTGATAGGCACCAGCTAAAGCTTCTGTGATTGCATTTTTACAAGCAGTTAGTACATTAATCTGTGTTAAGGTGTTTATATGTCAAAACGAATTTGATCCTTTGAGTTTACGAATTTCAGTCCAAATAACCTCGGAGGTTGTTAGAATTGATAGATGATACATACTCTCTCCAGACTTTTGCTTTTCTTTATAAGATATCTTGCTCTAGCTCTGAGTTTTCTGAAATTAAGTAAATTTTCATTAGTGTTGTGTTTTTTAAGTACATTAAAAGCATGTTGACTTAAAGATCGAGCATGTGTTACTTCATTGTTCCACCAAGGTACTGGTGGTCTTTGCATAGCTTTGTTTTATATATATTTTTTAGAGCTGCTTCTATAGTTATGTTCTCTAAGGAAGTAATATTAGAGTTTATATCATTACTTGGATGGTAGTTTTCAATTTTCTTTTGAATGTCGACTTGATAAGACGACCAGTTTGCAGTCTTTAATTTCCAGGATTTATAGATTGGAAAGTTAGGAGATTGAATTTCATTTGAAGACATACAGATGTCATGAGGAAAGTGATCACTGTCATCTAACGATTTTCAAATCGAATCTAAGTTCCTGTAGTTGGCTGTATACCATATATCACAAAAAAATTTATTAAAAATCCTTTATAAAAGTAAAAAACCCAACCGGGCTATATCACAAAACGTTTTCGGAATCCAAATTCCATCATCAGTGTCTAGGTATACATGTATTGAGCCACTAAATATGTGGGTAAAAACCCGTTAAAAATTTGTTTAAATTTAGTTTACATTGTGAGTTACTAAATATTATGATGATAAAGTTACCAGTGGATTTGATAACATGGCGACGTATGATTCCACGTGAAGTGCTGGTCCTGAGACGGTGTGTCTACGAGGACTTGATGAAGGAGTTGATTTCATCAAGTCCTCGTAGGCACACCGTCTCAGAACCAGCAACTTCACGTGGAGTCATACGTCGCCATGTTTCCAAATCTACTGGTAATTTTAACATCATAATATTTAGTAACACATAATGTAAACTAAATTTAAACAAACAATTTTTAAGGATTGACTACATAGTGATAAATCCATGGTGGAAAAAGAGCCTTTATAGGAGTTGAAATATGGTATATTCCCCTGTATTAAGTAATAGTAGATCAGAAGAGTCAATGAGATGTTTAATTAAATTACCGTATTTGTTTGTTTTAGGGCTTCCCCATGCAGAATGATGACAATTCATATCACCTAAAATTATTTTAGATAATTTTAGGTGATATGAATACGCCGACGATATCTGCCTGTTAGGACAAAGGTTCCAAGATGTGGCTGACCAATTGGAAACACTTTCCACTGAAGCCAATAAAATAGGTCTGAAAATCAATATTGGTAAAACCAAATCCATGAGAATAAATGCAAGAAACAACACGCTATTTACCATTAATAACATGCAGATTGAAAATGTGGAAAACTTTACGTATCTTGGAAGTGTCATAACAGAAAGCGGAGGTACAGAAGACGATATTCGTATGAGGATACGAAAAGCGCAACAAGCTTTCAGCATGCTCAACCCTGTTTGGAGGTCTGGAGAATACACTACGAGGACAAAGATCCGCATATTCCAGTCAAATGTCATGTCTGTACTACTTTACGGATGTGAAACCTGGAAAGCGACAAAAACCCTTACAGACAAACTGCAGGTCTTTGTTAATAAATGTCTACGAAGAATTGTTCGTATTTTCTGGCCTAACATCATCAGAAACGAAGACTTACTACACCTGACCAAACAAAAGAGGGTAGTAAATGAAATAAAGTCCAGAAAGTGGGGTTGGATCGGTCACACACTCCGAAAAAATAACTCCAGTATTGCAAAGACTGCCCTAGAGTGGAATCCCCAAGGAAAACGAAAAAAAGGTCGCCCAGTACAAACTTGGAGAAGATCCATCATGGACGAGATAAGAAAACAAGGAAAGTCTTGGAATGAGGTGAAGGCCTTAGCGCAAAATAGAACCCGATGGCGCGTTTTCACTGAAGCTCTATGCTCCACTTAGGAGTTCAAGAACCTTATATATATATAAAATTATTTTTAGGTGTGGAATTTGATCAAGAAGGTTATCTAGTGTTAGCAGGTCTAGCTCGCTAGGATGTAGTAAATAAATTTTGCGTATAACAATATGTGTTGAGTATGTAGTACTCATTGTTACAGCTTCAAGATTAGTACTTAATGCAATTGACTTAGCTTCTAGGTCTGTTAATACGAAGACAGCTACTGCACCGCTGGACTGTTGTGCGATTCTGTTTTTTTGAAAAATATTGATAATTTCGAAGTTTATATTAACTTGTTTAAAATGAGTTTCTTGAAGATGTAAGATCTTGGGGTACAATTCATTTATTAAAAGTTTTAACTGTTCTAAATGGGTATAAAATCCAATAAGATTCCACTGTAAAATAAAGGAATTGAACATGTTAGAATTTTGCCTGAGATAGTGGTTCATCTGCTTCTTCTGTCGAAGAGAGATAACGGTGGTCTAGTTTATTTTGTGATGCGGTGAAATTATTTTTTAATTTTAAAATGTTGGTATAAGCGTGAGCAAAATTAAGGATCTCACTTAAATCGGCAATTTCATTCCAGTAATCTTTTAAAATTATTTCAGGATGTTTGGCATATAGTGTTTTTCAGATAGTGATTACGTTGTCTAATTTTGTGTTGCCTAATTTGATACGTGCTCCCTGGTTATAATATAGATTTTCTAAAATTCTTATACCTCGCCATAATATCAAAGCATACTAATTCAGTCTAGAAGAAAATAACCCCTATTTCAAGTTTGTAAATATTACGAATACTGAAAGTAAAAACTTTGGCTGTACTAATTCTCTGATGAACAGACGGATTGGATTAACTAAAGAATCGATTTTTTAAAATTATTATTTAGATCTAATATTTCCTAAACAATATTTTATGTCTATATTTTACCTTTAAAATACATCATAATTGTTCAACAGTTCCGTTGTGTACAGCTGAAAGTGTTCTTAAAAACAAGTTCTACTGTTTAAGGTAGGTTTCTTACCAGGCATAATCTAAGTAAGAGTGGACATAACTAGTGTTGTTTTTTAAACTATTAACAACTGATTGTGTTCCAAAATGAATTGTATTTATTAACTAAATAGTTCGAATATCAATATGCACCTTTTAGAATTATTTTCGATAATAATCCTCTCTATGTAGATGTAATTTTCGTCAATATTTTAAAATTTTAAACAATCTCTTCAATTTTTCTCCTATTATCTAGCATATTATGAAAATATTGGAACCGGAACTCAAGGAAAATTTAAATAATTTAATTTTCCTTGTAACGTGAGTGTTAAGATGTGTCTTTTTGGGGAATAATGACACAGGTAAAAACATCTACTGATCCAACCGTAAATGTACAATCTAAATTTGAACAATTGGTAACTTACTGGTTTTTTAAGTTGAGTTTTCATATACTCATATTTTCTCTTATAATCTCTGGAATAAGGTATAGCAGGTCCTGCTATTTGAGGATTAGACAATCTAGGATCTTCCCATTGTGTGGTCCTTGTATCTGTAAAATGGAAATATTGTTTATATTTTGTTCATAGTAATGTTTTTAACATTATATTTAAATATATCAATTTGATTGGAGAATGGAAAAAATGTAATAAAATGAAACTTTTTTTAACAACCATAAACGTCTTAACCATTATCAACAAAATTAGCACAACAAAAATGAACCATATCAAATAAATAAACCCATTTGAGATGTAAAGAATTAAACTCTCTCATTGGAAGACAAGTGATACAAATACATATGGATTCATGATATTTTGAATTGTTCTTCTTTATAAGATATTTCTTCCCAAGAAGTCGCTGACTTTTTGGAAAGATTGGTGACCATCACGACTATTTATATTTTATTGACTGCTGCTCTCAGGAGGACGTTCGATGAGCAGTTAAACCATTCTCTGATATTTCTGAGCTACAACATCCGTCTCTTCCTAAGCTCCGTTTTCTCCCATTTCTTCTTGAATGATTTGGTAAGTTATATCTTGTAACTCAAATGACCGAGATATTGGAGTTTTCTAATTTCTACTTCTTGAGAAACTTCTAGATATTTTAAGATTCTTTGCACTCTTCGTTGGTGATTTTGTCAGCATACGATATCCGAAATATACTTCTGTACATGTACAATCTTATCTCGAAGGCACCATCTTTTTGTGTTGTGTTAGAGTGACATTTTCTATGCCATAAAGCATTATTGTTAAGATCTTTGCTTAAAGGTTTGTTACAAAAGAATTGCTTCATTTTAATGAAAAGCTTACGTGGTGTTTATATTTGTGATTTTAACTACATTGATTAATAATTGTTGTTGATTAAAGTTCCTAAATATTTATATTTATACATTTGCTCCACAATCTGATGGTTCACTGTTAGCTGAGATTAATACTATTGCAAGAATTAATATTAAACTCAGCAGTCTTCTGGGTTGAACAGCGTCGATTATCATTGAGCCGAGCTTTCGATATGCTCTTTGATATCTTCTTCCGAGGTCTCAGTCTCCCGAGCCTCCTAACCATACTACATTGATCACTGACACATTACTGCTACTGGGAACATTCTTAAACCAAGAGGAATGAACACAATATTTACCCCTCAACAAAAACTTTTCTCTTGCACGATCACTCAAAGGCAACATTCGAAATGAACAACACAGAGTTTATGAAATTGCTTGTGCAAACTGCCCTGCTCTTATACAGGCCAAACAAATTGTAGAATCCTAAATAAGATTTATGAAAATTCCAGTCAACACCGTCTTCATACAGGTCACATAATTGATTTTGAAAACTCCAGAACTATAGCCCTCATATTCTATAAACCAAGAATTATCCAGAATTATCGTAGAAGCCATATAAGTTAAAAAATGGCCAAATTGTCCCAATAAAATAGATGATGGCAAACGGTTACCTTCGACTTCTTATAAAGAAAATATCGTCCGCTCCACCCGCCAATCAAAATCCAACTGTCAGAAATGTCCGCACCAATTTGCATGCTAACTCCCCCGCCAACCTCCACCCAAACCTCACCATCGACGGTATAAATGAACCGTCCTCTGTTCTCAGTTGCAGTACTGCATTGGTTAGGAATCAGTGTAGTAGTGTCTGGGGACTCGGCAAACTAAGACCTTGGAAGCCCCAAACAAGACATTAAAGAGAATGTCGAAAGCTCGGCGCAATAATAATCGACTCGGTTTAATCCGGAAGACTGCTGAGTTTAATATTAATTTATGCAATAGTATTAATCTTAGTTCTGGGTTTAATTGTACTAACCACGGAAATCTTTCTGAACATTGCCAATAATGAGTGTACCCAAATTTTAATAAGCCACTGCTACTCATCTAGTGCAAATAAATATAATTAACATTTGAAAGCTGTTGTCTTCTTCAAAAATTGTTTGAGACATGTGTGTATATGTATAACATCAATTTTATGCACTACTTACTATGATCAATGAAGAATATTCTTCCATCGGAATGTACTCGTTCCTCCCATCCTTCAGGCAACGGACCTAAATCATCATCTGGCCGTTTAGTGATTACTGGAGCTGCCGGTTGATTAGGCATCGGACTAGCTCGTCCAGTTCTGGGATCTACCCAAGACGTTGTCCGTTCATTATGATCAATAAAGAACAGACGGCCATTTGGCGCACGTTGAATACTCCAACCTAAGATTAAATGAAAATGATAAAGCTAAGTATGTATGCTCTGTTAGTAAAAATACGATAAAATAAAAACAAAAAGGATAAATTAAATTGGATATTCTAGTTTTTTTAGTATTGATATTTAACGTTTAATTTTAATTTTATTTTAAAAAATAAAAATAAAACTAAGTTTAACTAAACAAAAAAATAAGTTTTAATACCTTAGATAAGGGCCTTCTCCAAAATAAATACAGATATAAATAAATACAAAAAATGAGAGAAAAAATGAGAGAGAGAGAGAGAAAAAAAGTTGTGGATTCGGTGACGATACAATATTGTTAACTTTACAAATCTCAAAGGATCAGGTAATAACAGAACGATTTAAAAATATATAGATACTAGCTGACCTGGCGAACTTCATACCGCCTTATAATTAATAAATGTTCTGTAAAATATTGAATATACTTAACTTTTTAATAATTTTTAATAATAATAGCTGACTTATATTAACTTTTTTATATTATGATTTAATTAACTAAGTTCAATAAAAGTTCAAATTAATTTACGTAGTAAAAAAGTTAACCATTTGCTATAATGAATGGGTTGCATTCAACGAATTGTTCACAGTTCATTCAATCAAAAGAATTGTTCACAGTTGTAAGATATGCTTCCGTTTTAAGGCTCAAATAGCATCTCAGCTGATGGCAGACTTGCCAAGAGAACGTCTAGTGTGTTCGCAACCATTTACAAATGTTGGAACAGACCTAGGTGGACCATACAATCACAAAACTTCCAAACTTCGTAAGGCTCCTGTAACCAAATGTTATATTGTTGTGTTTATCTGTATGGTCACTCGAGCATGCCATCTGGAACTTGTCTCCAATCTAACCATAGAATCATTTCTGCTCACCCTCAAGCGTTTTATCAGTAGACGTGGCAATCCCTCTGTCATATTTTCTGATAATGCAACCAACTTTCTTGGCTCCAAAAATCAATTGAGAGAATTTGCTCAATTCTTGCGGAACCAAGACACTCAAAAGTCAATAAAGGATTTTCTCGCTTCCTCTAAGATTACATGGAAATTTATACCTCCTCACTCTCCACATCATGGTGGGATCTGGCAAAAGTGCCATAAAAGTGCGAAGTACCATCTCCACAGGCTTGTTGGCAACCTAAACCTCACGTTTAAAGAATTCTCCACTGTATTAGCCCAGATAGAGGCTGTTCTCAATTCTCGCCTCCTCAGTGCCATGTCCAATCAGCCTGGGGATCTCTCTGTACTCACCCCGGGTCACTTTTTAATAGGCAAACCGCTCACCTCTTTCCCAGAGTCCGATGTAAGTGAAATTTCCTCCTCTAGACTAAATCTCTGGGAAAATTTGCAAAAAAAATCCAACAACGTTTCTGGAAAAGATGGAGCACAGATTACTTGAATAGGTTGCAAAACCGTCCAAAGTGGCTCACCTCAAACAAAGATATGAAAGTAAATGAACTTGTCTTGTTGAAGGAAGATAATACACCTCCCTTATATTGGCCGCTTGCCAGAGTGATTGAGGTCTACCATGGCAGTAATGGCAAGGTTCGTGTTGTTAAGATCAAAACGAAGGATGGAACTTTCACACGTCCCATCACAAAATTGTGCCCATTGCCAGAAGAGTATTCTGTGTAAATATTAGGTAAATGTTACATTGTATTGTAAAGTGTGTTGATTAGCTACTAAGTGTAATATTTTTTAGGGAATAAGTTTACTCACCCATGCATTCTATGTTTAGTTGATAGTTTATTGTTAAGTGTTCTCTAGAATTAGGTTTACAGCAGAATTCATCTTCTGTTAATCTAGTAACTTTGCTCTTGTTGTTGTCTCTTGTTGTTTTCTCTTGTTATGTCGTTAACTATTTTATTATTTGAAGCAATGCTTCAAGGCCCGGGAGTATGTTGGAAAACCAACTAATTCTTTAACTGTTTCAATTTAACCTAACGCCGCCTCTGTTCCTGAATAACACATGTTAGCCCTTATTAGTTAAAAGAACCAGAAATCTTCAGTGTATTTGACGCCCCTCATACACCCGCTGACCCTTTGTCATTTGCCCAAGCTGGCCACATATTGCATACAAGCATATAAGGGCAGTCGCATTAAGTAGTTCAAGTTAAGAAGTCGCTAAATAAGTTATTCTCTCTCCTCGTTTCTCTCTCACCCGTATCACACAACAAGATATTAATATATATAAAATATTAATATATTACAAGTTATATTATAAGTTAGTTTAGTGTTGCAAAGTGCAAGGTGTATATATGTAAAATATTTTACAAGTAAAATAAAGCGAAGAAGTAAAGTGTAAGTGTATAATTTCACCCCCACAAGAGTAACAAAACGAATCGGTAACCTACGCTTAAATCCTGTAACAAATCAAGACAGGTCACCACAAGGGTTTTGGTGCTCTCAGGGAACGTTGAAAATAACCCCATCGTTTCCCTTTACACAGTATATTTGTTCTTTTCACTGTTTTATGCCATTTTATATTCCACACTAAGATGTATACGATTTGTATATTATTCCACACTCCGACGCAAATGAATGGCGTTTGTTTATTGATAGCTCCAAGCGGAGTTTGAAATGTGTTCTGCTTCACAATGGAAACAAGTTTGGCTCAATACCAATTGCTCATTCAACCGTAATGAAAGAAGAAATGCTACAATAGCTCTAGTTTTACAGAAGATAAAATGCAAATGTGTGTAGAATTGAAAATGGTAAACTTTCTTCTTGGGCAGCAAAGCGGTTACACAAAATATCCTTGCTTCTTGTGCCTCTGGGATAGTAGGGACCGAAAAAGCCACTGGATTAAAAAAGGGTGGCCTAAGAGAAACTTGGTAATTGGACAAAATAACATTATTGCGCAGTCTTTGGTCGAACCAGAGAAAATAATCTTACCACCCCTCCATATTAAGCTAGGCCTAATAAAGCAATTCGTTAAGGCATTTGATTCTAATGGACCATGCTTCGCCTACATAGTAAGAAAGCTGCATCAGATAAGTACAGAAAAACTTAAAGCTGGAATCTTTGATGGACCCCAGATCAAACTTCTTACGAAAGATTCGGCTTTTGTGGGGTTAATGAATGAGGTAGAGAAAAAATCTTGGCTTTCATTTGTGGACAATATCAAAAATTCTCTGGGAAATCACAAAAGTGAAAACTATGCTGAGCTGGTAAACCGTTTGCTGAATAACTTCCAATCACTTGGATGTAATATGAGCATCAAAGTCCACTATCTTCACAGCCACCTGGACCGTTTCCCCAAAAACTTGAGTGACACAAGTGAGGAGCAAGGTGAGAGATTTCAACAAGACTATGATAAAAACCATGAAGGACCGCTAGCAAGAAAAATGGGATACCCATGTGATGGCAGGTTTTTGCTGGAGTTTTAAGAGAGACCGTTTAAAAGTTAATTCCATGAAATCACGCAAGCGAACGTTTCGTTACGTGAAGTAAAGTTTTTTTTCTATTTTGTTAGTTTTTTTCTCAAAACTAACTGTATATTTGTTTCATTGTACAAAGAGCTTTATTGTAGTTAAATGGCTTAAAATATAGGTATTTTCTAATTGTGTGATTTTTAGTTTAATTTAGTATACAGGGTGGTGAATCGTCAAACGGGCCATAGGAAACTCAATGGGAAATTCTAAATTGTTGAATTCCTGCTTCCCTAATTATTTTACACCAAAAGTCATGAGAAACTATTTGTAGAGGACTCAAACATGTATCGAAAACAACTGTTAAAATTATTCTACGACTTAAACGTAATCCAAAATTTTGCTAAAACATACAATACAAACATTTTTCTGTGAAAAAATGTGTATTACGTGTTGCGTTTTGTCATATTATTGTTTCTGGTATTTGAAAATATTTAAATTAATTATATTATATTTATCTATGATTTAAATGCCCAAGATTTTGTGATTTATTGTTTAAAAAAATTAAGTTGATTAAAAAATGTACTCAGTTGAGGAGAAAAAAGCAATAATAAAAATGTTTTATTCATGTTTTATTATAACATTTGTTATAATTTTATGTTTAGAAATTATCATATATTATTAGGAATAAAGATCACAGTAACAGTATATTGGAATTCATTGAATTGTTGTATAACTTAACTTGGAATGGAATTAAATTTTAGTGAATTAGAATATCTTACGTTAAATAAAGATCCGGTAGTGGCAGGAAAAGGTTCGCGCTATTGTCTGAATACAACATTATGCGATTTTTCGTCAACTGAGTACATTTCGTTATATCGATCGATTTGTAAACAATATAATTTATTGTTCACAAAGTAATAATGTTCAGTAGTAGTAGTATTTAGTAAAATTTATTGTTTATAATTTAATCATAAAATAAAAAATTGACAATTCAAATTGTCAAATATCTGACATCAATATGATAAAACACACACGTCCTAATATATATTCTTGCATTACGTGTGGCCTAACTTTTAGGGGTGGATTGAAAAATGTATCACATTTTTGCAAAATTTTGAAGTACATTTGATTCGTAGAACGGTTTTAACATTTGTTTTTAATTCAGATTTTAGTCCTCTACAAATAGTTTTTTATGACTTTTGATCTAAAATAATTAGGGAAGCAGGAATTCAACAATTTAAAATTTCTCATTGAGTTTCCTATGGCCCGTTTGACGATTCACCACCCGGTATCCATATCAGCATATTCGTATTTTAATGCATAAAAGCTGGCATGACCTACATTATCTTAAAAACTAGAGCTGATAGGGCAAAACTAAAGCTATATTCGGAATCAGCACCCCAAATATACCTAAAATCAGCTCTAAACACTTTGGCACCAAAAACACTGTAGGCCTATGTTATTTTTATTGAAGGAACCTGTGACATACTATATTTTTCGTTATACTGTTAAGCGTGAGAATAAAGTGGATGGTTTAATTACTATTTTGCTTCGTTTGGTTTATCTTGCTACCACTAAAGGTTTCGTCGTAGATGTAGATATGGTTATCTTTGATACCTAAGATCAGGATTGCGTCGTCTGCGTAACAAAGGGATTTTATTTGTTTTCTACCCAGAATGTATCCTTGTGCTGCCTTTTTTAATTACTTCTATGGTTTTGCCCATTACTAAGTTGAAGAGTAGTAGAACTAAACTATCTCAATGACGGATCATTGAGTTGATATCTACTTCCAATAATAGTTCATTGTCGATTTTAATTTTCTTGTTGTTAGTATAAATCTCTTTAGTTATTTTTACCATTTTCTTGTACTATAGTGTATTTTTATGTATGAGAGAGTAATAAAACAATAAATTATGTATGCAAATCCCTAAACTGTTGATAAGGGTGACTCAATGAAAAACAGATATTTGTCAACAAGTTTACAGAAGTATATAGGAAAACAATTTTAAATTGAGTATGACCACCAGGTATCAGTTGGTTATCTACTGGTTTAAACCCACCATCAGGAAAGGGACGCAGGCTGATAATAGTACACATTGGCAGTTCAGACGGTTTTGTTGAAGGTGGTTTATTAACTTTTGAATCAACTCGTACCGGTGATTACCATGAAGACATGAACGCTGATGTCTTTCAAGAATGGTTCGAACAAATGATAGATCTTCTTCCTAAGAACTGTGTAATAGTAATGGATAATGCAATTTATCACTCCAGACTTATAGAAGGACTGCCCACAACCAAGTGGTTAAAAAAAGACTTGCAGAATTGGCTGAGTTCAAAAAATATTACGTACCATCCCGGATCTATAAGAAAGGAACTTTATTCGTTGTGTGCCCTTCATAAAGAAAAATTTAAAAAATACGAAATTGATGAAATTGCCAAAAACCGGGGAATGACAGTACTTAGATCCCCACCATATCATTGTGAATTAAACCCAATTGAACTGGTATGGGCACAGATAAAGAGTGAAGTTTCAAGAAAAAATACCACTTTTAAAATTCATGATGTTAAACAGTTGTTTTTGGAGGCCGTAAATAATATAAAACCTGAAAACTGGAAAAAGGAAGTAAATCACACTATTAAAGAAGAGGAAAAAATGTGGAAGCTGGACAATATTACTGATAAAATGATCGAGCCAGTTATTATAAATCTTGGTTCTGAAAGTTCATCTTCTGAATCTGATTTGGATTTGTAACAAGTAGCTGTAAGTTTTATATTCTTCTAAAAACTCTTTTTCTCTTTTGTAATTTTTAAAAATTAAAAAAAAAATGTGAATTTTTTAAAACACTTTTTATGTAGGCCAGTCAGTTCTAATATAGTGTGTGATAAAAGAGGTAACTTTTGTTTACATACACATAACACTTTATAACACTGAAATAATTCATTTATTTTTTACAATTATTCAAAGTAATTTTTCAATTAATCTTGAGCACGCCCATGGAGTGGTCGGAGGTACCAGTTAAAATTATGCTAATTACTCTCTCGTTCATAAAAATAAACTATAGCTTTTTTGTTTTAGAAATTGTAACACATTTAATATAACGCGGTCAAAGGCTTTAGTTAGATCTACAAAGCACATATCGATAGGTTTGCTATATTCAAATACTTTTTCCCTTCAATATTTGCTCTTCACTGATGTATTTTCGTTAATAGTATTGGCAAATATCTTTTTTAGCAGTTTAAAAGTTGAGCTGAGCATGGTGGTTCTAGTCCTCCATTAGTACTGTACATTTTTGCTACCTAAAATTTCTGAAAAACTACCTCCACGTTTTCACTTTCCTCCAGAGCATTTTAAGAGTTCATTTGGTATGCCATCAGGTATTGGAGTATTTTTGTTTTTTAATTTACATAGGAAACGGCTAATATTTTCTTTTGCGATTTCTATATTGTTATTATCATCACTTTTTGGTTAGACAGTTATTCTAGATAACTGTCATACATATAAACACATCACTATTTTCCATTGTTGACTAATGGTATAGTTATATACCCAAAAATGTATCTGAATGGACGTAAAGTAAAGAAAACAGGGATGGACTGAGAAGAAGTGAATCAAATTATTAAAAAATCTACGACTAAAAACTACTTAAATAACGGAGAATAGACTAATAACCCAATTAAAATCTATTATTTATTCCTGTTTAATTAATTATTTTTCCTTAACTATTATTTTGTTCTTAATATTTGGTAATCTATTAGGTTTTTCCTTAGCTCATTTTTATAGTAAGTTATTCCATTAATGACACATTATTTATAGTGTACTAATGTTCTCAGAGAGATTTCATCAAGTATTTGAAGAAAAATCATTTTCTGTCACCAAGATTTAATAAAAAATATCTTACCTGCGGGCAAACCTTCTGACAAAGTATCAAGATTATTTTGAGAATTGCTAGTTGACGTTGAAACGGTCGAGTCTCTTCTGGACGAATTATTTGATAAACTATCATGTTGATCGTCACTCTAAAAGCATAATTTATTAAATTAAAATTTGCCAAATTTACATACAATGTAAAAAACATGTACCTTTTAAAACAAACCAGTACAACAAACCTTTGATTTTAAATAGGGAATAGACCTTGTATAGCACATCATTAGACAGGAACTTGCAAAGAAACACCATCCAAAAAACATAAAAAGATAAACGTAAACTATATAAAACACATAAATAATAACTATCCGCATTAAGTTCCCTTAATTTTCCTAACTACTGGGTTTATTAGGTTGAATTTGTCTGTCTGTGGTTTAAGTTTCGTATCAGATAATATATTTTTATGTTTTAATTTTTTTCTTTAATTTTGGACCTTGTTGGGGTGAAAATTTCCCCATTTCCCCTGCGTAACCGCCACTGAATGAACGGTTTCCAAACGGATTGCACAAAAAGGTTTTATTTAGTGGTTAGCAAGTCCCCCTGATTTAACTCCCTTAAACTTCTTCCTTTAGGGTTATTTAAGGCAAGGCGCTCACCAACGTGGCAACCAAATGGCGTGGCAATGGCGAGCGAGTGCTGTGGTGTCCCAGTGGCAGATAGAATTGTTAAACCTTTATAAACATAATGTAGTCGCACGTATCGAAAGGTCGCACGTGCGACTACATATGTTTATACATTTTACCTGCTACTGGGACACCACAACACTTGTTCGCCATTGCCACGCCATTTGGTTGCCACGTTGGTGAACGCCTTGCCTTAAAGGCAAGATTTATAATAACATTTCCTGCTTCATTGGGAGAGGTAAGACGACGAATAGTGCATGAAGGTAGTCTAATAACCCCTGACATGTTCAAAAATGTTTTGAATTATGAATTTATTAATTTAAACTTTAGTTCATTTTATTTACATTACATTTCATAAAGTTTCCTATTGATGTTACAAATTTCGTATTGATTTAGTTTTTGACGTGACAAGAAAAATTTGAAATTGACACTAGCAAAATATAGGCGTTAAGTTTAGTTTTTAAGAAGCGTAATACTCTCAACAAATTGATACTTTTTCACAAGAATGCAGTTTATTTAAACAAATAATGGATGCCTGAATTCTCCAGCGAAATACCTGTCTAATGATGTCACACATGGTATATTCCATATTAAAAATTAATTAATGGTTTATGGTACTAGAAGGGAGGGGGTAAAAGTAAAGTAAAGTTCGTGTAACCTTCTGGCCAATTCTAGGGTTTTCAGGTCGCGCAAGCTCCCCTAACATGATTTAACGACTACTTTTGTAGCCGGGACCTACGGCTTTACGTGCCCTCCGAAGCACGGTGGCAGTTTAGTTAAATCAGAAATTGAAAATTTTGACGGGAGTCGAACCCGAGCCCTCCAGCTTGTTAAGCCAGTAACATAGTTACTGAGCTACGGCTACCATAAGGAGGAGGTTAAGAAATGACAGATATCTATATCTTTAAAAGATGTCCCCTTTGGAATAAAAATAGACCTGTTTTAGCACTTTCACAAAATCCAATGAATATTGACAAATATCGGCGTGGACTCTTGAGTGAATAAACCTGTATATATTTTAAAACTAATCACATTTTAAAAATTTTAAAGGTAATATAATGTTAAGGTAAGTAGGAAATATTGGATTCATTTTCGTTACGATTATGAAAAATCGGTGAACTTGGTAATGTTTTTTTCATTATTTTATTTTAATAAATATAGATGAAGTGGGAAGATTAAGAATGTTTGGTTTTACTGATCGACTTCATATCCTACGAAGTAAGACTCTACTGTGTGACTTAAAATTGTTCTATATCCTAGAAAATTATAGACAAATGGGATTTGTTACAGATTTTTTATAAAAAAACACATAGTTGAACACTGCAAGAAAGACCGGGATTGATGATTAATAATAAGATGAAGTAACGATAAGAATAAGAATTGATAAAGACAATTCACATTTAAAACACTAAAAAAAGACACAAAGATATTACGAACGAAAACGATCACACTTAAGACGCAGTCTTATGCGACTGTTACAAGCGAATAAAGCACTGGTTGGGGTATGCACTCTAATGCATTTAGACGCAAGCGATAGAAAAGCTGATTGGGAATTTTGACATTAACGGAGCATACATACAGTCATGTGTATCTTTGATAGGAACTGCAAAAAGAATGAAATGTATGTGAGGATCGTTGAAGAAGGATACCAATAGAATTTAATAAGTAATTCCATACATCCCTATAATCATTATGTGCTAAATGGTATAGTTTATAGTTATAGTTATAGTAACAGTATTGTTACCTGGGAACTATTATTAACGAACAGTGGAGCAATTTACAGGAAATAAAGTGCCGCATAGGAAAGGCAAGAACGGTCTTTAACGAAATGAGCGCCATCTTCAAAAGTCACAACATATGACCCTTGATACAAAAATGAGACATTTGAGATGCTATGTTTTCTCTGTGTTGTTGTACGGGACGGAGGCATGGACGCTTACAGACACCACTATTAAAAAACTTGAAGCATTTGAGATGCGGCTTTATAGAAGAATGCTGAGAATATCATGGACAGCAAGGATCACGAACAACGAAGTTCTAGGAATAATGAAGAAGGAACCAGATATTGTGTTTACGATCAAACGCATAAAATTGCAATATCTGGGACACGTTATGAGAAATCAGTACCGTTACTCCCTGCTACAGTCTATATTGCAAGGTAAAGTCAAATGTAAGCGAGGACCCGGTAGAAGGAGAATATCATGGCTGCGGAATTTAAGAACATGGTTTAAGAAAACCTCAACGGAGCTGTTTCGAGCCGCAGCGAGCAAGGTTATGATTGCCAATATGATTTCCAACATCCGAAACGGATAGGAACCAGAAGAAGAAGAAGAAGGTATAGTTTGGTCGCTCACAAATGAACTCTAAAACAATACCTTCTTTTCACACAGCAATCCTTCTCTTTTGAACTTTGTTAAAATATCGACATGTCGACTCAATATCGTTAACCATTATCAACCATAGTAGAGGCAATTTTAAACAAGATACTAAATATGCAGGCCTTAATTCCATAGTGATTCATACAAGCAATAACACTGATGAAAACAAAATGCTTAGAAGAACATTTTTGTAGCTTTTAGCATTTTCTCTTATGGATGAACACCTTTGTGATGAGTCCGAGCGACAATAGACAATTTAAACAGAGATCAGAAATTACGTATTAAGGCTATATATAATATTCCTAACACAGATGGCAATCCAACGAATGGAAGAGTACATAGCAGGTGCTACTTTTGCAACCGTAAAAAACCGGAAAACGACTCCTTCCTGCTATAGATGTAAAAAGTTTTGGTGCAGAGAACATACTCGTGCAGTATATGAAGAGTACCAAACTGAACTTCCGATTAACTAAAAGTTTCCTTTTTATCTTTAAAAATCTTAATAAAATAGTGTTTTAATTAAACTGGTTTCAAATACTTTTATTAACACAAGCTAAGAAGTAAAAGACGAAGCGGTCCTTTTGACAGCAGGCGACTACTAGTTTTTAAAAATCCCTAGCGACTACTAAGCGGTTAATAGTGATTAGAGGCTGTTTGGGAAAGTATTTATCATTTATTTACATATTTTACATTTAATATTTTTTTACTGTATTATAATTATGATCTTGTTTAATGATATATTCTAACTACTTATTTACTTTACAAGATTACAGTATATTATTTTTCTTCTATTCAGTGAACCTGATTGTCAAACTGGCTAACATATGGCAATCTGTTTTTAAGTTAATAGAAATTCACTTATTGTTAGAATATCAAATTTCTGCGGAATTGTATACGCAATTTGTGATCAAGGCTGGCAACCGTTTTTAAAATTCTGATTTACGAGGATTCGCTTCCTGTGACCACCCCTTGGAATTTTTAGGTACGGATTTTTATCTTTACAAATGTTTACAAAGACAGATCGAAACAAGACATAGTACTCTAAACATATCCAGTTTATCGAAGACTCTAACGTACTTTTGCACATCGGCGCGTCGATGTCGGTTTTCTATTCTCCAAGGGGCTCAACCACTATTTTACTCCTCTAGCTGAAGTTAATATACCATATTCAAACGGTAAGTGATTTTTCATTGTACAGATAACATTAATGAGTTACGCCAAGTATTTTCGTGATTTTTCAATTAATTTCTAATCTATTCACAATCAAAATATTGCATTTTTTTTTCGTTAGTATTATAATCATTTAACCAGCGACTTCAGTAAGATTTACACAAAACAGAGATGTCTGAAGACATTCTAATCTGCTTCACTGGTTGATATCGATAGTAACAAAAAATACTCAAATTTATTACCAGTAAACAAAATAATATTAAATTGAAAAAAAAAAAAAAAAATAAAAAGGCGTAATACGAATATGTAGACACTAGTGCATGTCTGATGAGAGGCAAATAGCTTAAAATTGCAATATTATTTTGGTATTTTACGAATTTCAAATACAGAAATTGAAAAATCGCTGATGGGATGATATTTAGGGTGACTACGTATGTACAACTAAGATACAGAAAACTTTTTTCGAAATATGAACTTTTTGATCAAACACCAATTAGAATTCGTTAATTCGTCATTTCTAATATTATCAATAGTTTATAAATCTACCAAAGAAAGTAACAAGACTACAGAATGAACAAAAAAAAAATATATTTTACGTCGTTACCTTACTGATTTAATTAAAGATTGGTTTAATTAAGGGCTAAAAAAAGCTTTTTGATAGAAATGATCAATATATGACCAAACTTCACTTTAATATAAATCAGACAATAAGACTGATTAAACAAATCTTTATAACAGAAAAAATGGAACACATGATTACGGAACCAGTTATATACTATCTTTTTATTACGTAGTTGTCTTTTTAAAGACAAATCACACACTATTATTTTTTCTGGCGGATATTTTTAAGTTAAAGTTGATTTCCTGTAATCGACTGAACTATCTTACAACAAAGCCGTCCCTGGAACGCAACTCAAAAAT